ATACGAAACACAATACCTTGATGAATTTGAAATTGGTATTTGCCCGCATGGTATTCCAACACATTTGTGGCGCAGTGGTTAGCGTTAGTAGATCGCATGCCGAATACACGGGTTCGAATCCAGGAAATTACTTTTTAATTTTTTTTATGTTTTAATAGAATGTTGATGCACTGCATAAATATAAGAATTATGATTTATTCGGACCACTGATCATTTAATATTTACGTACATTAAATTTTGTTACTAATAAAGACTTGTGCGGATTGCTTCATGTGGCTTGAAAGTTCTGTCGGAACTTTATTTGAACTTTATGGAACTTGAAAGTTCTGTCGGAACTTTATTTGAACTTTATGGAACTTGAAAGTTCTGTCGAAACTTTATTTGAACTTTATGGAACTGGAAGGTTTGGTTGGAACTTTATTTGAACTTTATGAAACTTGAAAGTTCTGTCGGATCTTTATTTGAACTTTATGGAACTTCTGTCGGAACTTTATTTGAACTTTATGGAACTTGAAAGTTCGGTCGGAACTTTATTTAAACTTTATGGAACTTGATGGTTCGGTTGGAACTTTATTTGAACTTTATGGAACTTGAAAGTTCTGTCGGAACTTTATTTGAACTTTATGGAACTTGAAGGTTCGGTCGGAACTTTATTTGAACTTTACGGAACTTGAAAGTGATTTCAATCGTTGAATGCGGAACTTTTGGTTACTTGGGTGTCTTCTAGTGTTTTTCCATATTGAGCTGTGAAACAGTTCGATAGCCATTCTTATAGAAAATTTTTTCAGCTACAACTTTGCTCAAGACCGTTTCTATGTAAAACGAGACAGGAAAAAGTTATTAATTATTTAAGAGATTGGTAAACTTATGACATGATCAAGCAGCTGCTCTGTAGGCAACACTGTAATTTGCAGTGTGACATAGTAGCCATGATTTTTGTGTCATATTCAACGCTCCAGAAACACCAATGTTGCCTGCTGAGCAGTTGATTGAGCATGATCATAAGACATCAGCGCATTGAACCATTGATAACTTTCGATCCTTGCATTTAATCTTCAGCAAAGTTGTAGCTGAGAAAATTTTCTACAAGTACAGTTGAAAGCTGTTGAGGAAGACCGATATGGTGAATTATTAGATAGACATGAACAAACATCTTAATTTTACCATAGTAATTCCCATACAAACTTCAAATGGTTTGTGCCATCTCATTGTGGAGCGAAAATTTCAAATTTTGCATCACTCTAATGGCCACACGTCGCCAGCCTCGTAGTCCGCAGATCGCCTTCTACTTAGTCGGACCACCTTGCCCTCTGTGCGCTTCTTCTTCTTCTTCTTCTTCTTCTTCATGTTCCTGTTGGGTCGCTTTCAAGAACCGTTTTCACTGCGTCGTCGTCCGATATTCTTACGACGTGCCCAGTCCACCGTAGTTGCCAACTTTTTGCAGTGTGGACGATGGATGGTTCTCCCAGCAGCTAGTGCAATTCGTTGCTCATTCGCCTCCTTCACGTTCCGTTTTTCATCTGCATTCCACCGTAGATGGTCCGCAAAACTTTCCGATCAAAAACTTGTAGATAGTCAACTTCGTGCGGCGGCGAATTCTATCCGATTAAACAAGCAAACAAATTCAGTATGATGACTGACACTCTCGTCACTGCCGGCACAGCTGCAGCACACATGAGGCACACTGAGAAAAATGTTGGCACAAAATACGTGTGTAGAGTGACATCCCCTTGAGAATTTTGCAACATTTTCCAGAACTCGTACTTAGACAAATGTTTAAGCTCTGACTCGGCAAATTAAAGATTTCGGAACTCTAAAAATATTTCGAGATCTTGAGCTAATACAAAAAAAACGATGGCCTATAATTATCACTTCAAGATTTGAAGTGCAGAAAATTAAGATTCCTGATTTGAAAGAAATCATAATTCTGATCTTTGAAAATTTTGTGATCGTTTATTTTTTTGAAGATATTAAGTTTTTGTACTTGCTGGATGGAAATACCAAGTGAAATATAAACCCAATATTATTCCAATATATCATCCGGTATATTCTGGAATATCATATTATTTTTTCAAATAAAATTTACATAAAAGAGATTTATTCTCTAATAAAAATACTTACTGTATGGAATTACCAAGTGAAACACCATTCAAATAATTTATCCAGCGTACTTATCTTACCAATCAGGCTAAGGCCTTGATATCCTCTGCTGTCCGAAGAAGTCGTCACCAATCTACTCGATCCATGGCCACTAGACTGATGCAAAATTTGACTTTTTCGCTTCACAGTGCTTAAATGGTTTCAAATCGGGTCCTGATTAGCCTCCCAAAGTTACAACGCATTTGGTTAGAAACAGACTGCGCAAAAACCACTTGAAGATTACATGTAAATTACTATGGGAAATCTCAACTTTTTGTTAATTGTCTTCTAGTGTTTTTCCATATTGAGCTGTGAAACAGTTCGTTAGCCATTCTTATAGAAAATTTTTTCAGCTACAACTTTGCTGAAGACCGTTTCTATGTAAAACGAGACAGGAAAAAGTTATTAATTATTTAAGAGATTGGTAAACTTATGACATGATCAAGCAGCTGCTCTGTAGGCAACACTGTAATTTGCAGTGTGACATAGTAGCCATGATTTTTGTGTCATATTCAACGCTCCAGAAACACCAATGTTGCCTGCTGAGCAGTTGATTGAGCATGATCATAAGACATCAGCGCATTGAACCATTGATAACTTTCGATCCTTGCATTTAATCAAAAAGTGATCTTCAGCAAAGTTGTAGGTGGGAAAATTTTCTACAAGTAGGGTTTTCGATCTAATTTCCGTCCTACTAAGCACAACCCGCGCTTTACCTCTCTTTTCTGAACGAGTTTAAACAAAAAATGGAATATTTCTATCAAAGATGACTTGCAAATTTATTCACCTTTCCATACGTACCGTTGGATTTGATAAAGAGTCACACATTGTTGAGATATTGTCTAAAATCTAACACTGCTTCTTGATTCTAAATTCGTTCTAACGCATTGAAACGCCATTAGATTTTTTTCGTCCTACGGATAAACGTAGAAAAAGGGGATTCGCTAGGAGCTCTTCTTTTGTTTTGAGAACAATGAGCGTAAATATTCATATTCATATTCGCTCTAACAGGATTTATGTTGTAGCTATTGAACTAACGCATCGGAACAAACCTATTATTCATTTGTGCACGGTGAAATCATTGATATTATTGATCTTTTCTGATCGATAGAACGGAAATGGGCAATTACGACGAAGTAGCGCTCTACCCTTCAGTTGAAAGTTTTTGAGGAAGACCGATATGGTGAATTATTAGATAGACATGAACAAAAATCTTGGTTTTACCATAGTAATTCCCATACAAACTTCTAATGGTTTGCGCCATCTCATTGTGGAGCGAAAATTTCAAATTTTGCATCACTCTAACGGCCACACGTCGCCAGCCTCGTAGTCCGCAGATCGCCTTCTACTTGGTCGGACCACCTTGCCCTCTGTGCGCTTCTTCTTCTTTTTCTTCATGTTGCTGTTGGGTCGCTTTCAAGAAGCATTTTCACTGCGTCGTCGTCCGACATTCTTACGACGTGCCCAGCCCACCGTAGTTGCCAACTTTTTGCAGTGTGGACGATGGATGGTTCTCCCAGCAGCTAGTGCAATTCGATGCTCATTCGGCTCCTTCACGTTACGTTTTTCATCTGCATTCCATCGTAGATGGTCCGCAACACCTTCCGTTCGAAAACTTGGAGATAGTCAACTTCGTGCGGCGGCGAATTCTATTCGATCGGAGCGTTGTTACGACTCTCTTAAAACTACAATAAATCAATGAAGCAAAATTCTCTTTGGCACTTTGAAACTTTATTGAGTTGCCCCATTACAAATTGGGCACTCAAATCCCTAGGCCTGACCCTACTCTAACCTCAAACTGCTTTTAGCTACACTAGTTCTGGTGTATACTCACGACCTCTTAATCACCGTGGCATGGGTCAGGCGTATAGTGACCACCGAACGCGACCAGCCGACCTCCGTCCATATCCGCTCACAGCCGTCCCTGGATCGCAAAACGAAGAACCTCGATTCGTAATGGCTAACGAGCCTCTCGGCCTCGTTCCCGTCGTCTTCTGAAGGACTATCTAACCTGTCGTTACACGTCTCTTCATGCGCCAGTTCGACCCTTTCGTCGATCCAGATGACCAAACCAGAGTTTGCTACATCGTCTACTCGATCACCGCTCGGAGCCAGCGTGAACGAGATCATTGCGGAACCAAGATAAAAAGAAAGGGATCCTGTGTGGAGAACAGGTATTAGATACTGGGAATGACGGTACTATCCAGTTAACTTACGAGCTTGTCGATAAATAATTGAATAAAATGCCTTGTTAGTCGGTACAGCAATATGCCGTCCCAAACTCATAAAACTGTCCGTTAGTGAATGAAGGTGATGGCACAACACTTTATTATAGATATTGACATTTCTGTCATGTGTCATCATTTTCCATTTTCCGATTTTTCGTAATTGGATCACGACATGATTGTTGTGCTTACTCATCGAGCCAAACTCGTCACGTGTTGCATCCGCCAACATTCCCTTGAAAATAAAGCACAAGCCCTGCAAGTGTTTACATTCTCTCTACAGGTAATTTGCCGATTATAATTGGCATATGTCGTGGCAGTGGGAAAACGGGGAAAACACAATATGACTGTTTTACTGGACCACGACCGGCAGGTACGCCAAACCGGACGAGGCATGTAAAAATCGATTGCACATGGTGCACAACCCCAACAGGCAAAATCCACAAATTTCCGAAATGGCAGATACAGTAGCCAGATCTCGGAAATCAATTTACGCTTACGTACTTACTTACATTCACGTATTTAGGAACGTAGGTCATAATTCATCTTCGTCTGCATGTTTTCCAACATTTTTGTATCGGTCGGTCGGTCAAAAGTTGCAAATACTAATTCGTTGATCTTCGTATTTCATTTCAGTCGTTCCTGCAGGGACCAACGTTGAACACGTGTGCTAAGGTCCAGTGCCAACGACATCTTCGTTGTATTTCAGGTGCACATTGCTTCATCTTTCGTTTGTTTTTAGTGTTATGACTGAGAGATCGCAATTATTTTCGTAAGAATTTGACGAAAACTATAGCAAAGGCAGTTTTTGACAAAACAGCAAAGTTGACACTCGACCAGAATGTCCAATGAGAAAAAGGACCCCGGAGGGGTGAGTAACTTTTTGGACAACGAGGTGATGATGTGGCAGTTTATTGAAATTTTCAATTGGTATTGCAGGTCGGCCTGCAGATTGAGGCACCCTCACCGGTGCCATGCAACTCGATACTCAACATGACTGTGAACAGCATCAACTTGCCGGTTCCTTTGACCATGGAGGAAAAGAAGTACCTACTAGCGGTGGAGAGGGGTGATGCAGCTACTGTCAAGAGGTGAGGTTATGCTCATGGTATGAGATTGATTGTTGTTGGCTTCGGTAATTACTATAGTTTTATTCAATGTGAGCTCTAAACTAGTGATGGTCGAAGTGCGACCCGTGGGCAGCACGTGGTGCTTAAATCTATATGATGCAACAACCTTAGCTTGAATTTATGAATGCACTAGATTGGATTAGAATTCCAAGGTAATTCCAAAGCTTTTTTAAGTGTTTTCCTGCCTCATGTGTCTGATGAAAATTATAGGGGATTGTGAATATTTTAGGAAAATTCTGAGGAAAATTCCATATATATTCTGAGAATCCTTGAAGCATAATCCGAAAAGAGGAGAATTCCTAGGAAGTTCAAGATAACATCCCAGAGGAATTCTGAGTTGAACGTTAGTGTTAAGGATTCGCTATCATCCACACCTGATAGTCAAGCCAAGCAATTAAGTTTGATAACTATTCAATAGCAATTAAGTTTGATAATTATTCAATAGTAGATTCTGGGACTAGAATAAGATTTTTCAATTCAGATTTCTCCTCCTTTTTAAATATGATCAGTTCATTTAGTTGAGGATCCTTAACGTCAAATACTAGGCTTAAAGTGGACATTTTATACGATAGATGAGGGGATGAAAGTATAGAGTTGATAGTTCCGTTCAACTCTATACTTTCATCTCCTCATCTATCGTATCGTATGTCCACTTTAAGCCTGGTATTTGACGTTAAGCATCTCCAACTATGTAAATCGTTAACTTCACGCATGAAGTACGATTAGTTAATGTTCATTTAAGATTGTGTCCTCTCTATTTGGAAATAGCTTGTGTCGCGGCCAAAAGCTATTTTCTTCTCCGGTTGGGGAGAGTCTTTTGCTTAGGGGAACTAGGGGCAAGAAGGAGGTCACCCGGAGCAAGAGTGCCACCCTCAATATATATTGAAAATGAAATCATTTCAATTTTATCTCACGATGAACCTATGCACGGTATTCCTATGAAGCATTCTAAAAAGTTCTGTCCGAATCAAAGTCGTAAAAAAAAATGCAAAAAATCATTTTGTGTTGATGCATTGAAAAGCTAGTTTTTTTTATAAGAATAAGGCATCATAAAATAAGGTTTTCGGAATTTCCAATTTATTTTTTTCACAATTTCTGTATTGAGACATCACTACTGATGGTTGTTTGATACATTAATAACAATAAATTATTAAATATTTTGTTTAATTAATCAAAAATTATATTCCTAAAAATAAACTTTATACGGGGCAAGAGTGCCACCCCTACATTTATGTATTAAATTGTACAAAAATGTTCAGAAATTAACACAATTTTTTTTTATAATATCTTCATGTTTTATTGTCAGTTATGTTAATAAAGTTACATACATTCTATAAAAATTCTAAAGTTTTCGACGCTTACATCTGCAAAATTTGTATTAACTAAATAAAGGAACACTTTGCCTAACTGTTTAATCAAAGATTGTTTTGTTGCTCTTGTAAATGTTGAGAAGACTGGATACATAAACTTTTCTGGTTCCATGCGACGAAGCCTACACACAAAATCACGGCCTCCCTGTTCGGTAATTTTTTACTGGGTTTTTGAACAGCTGAAAAAGTCAGTAAACTTAAAAAAATTGTAAAAAATTGTATAAAAGTGATTTTTTCTTGAAATTTATACAGACTGTGTTCTTATTACATTTATTTGATGATAAAAATAAAATATGTTAAAATTGTTCGTTGCATTACGTGTGACCGTTATTTTCAGTTTACTGACTTTTTCAGCTGTTTGAAAACCCAGTAAAAAATTACTGACCCCAGTAAAATAATCTCTGTGTGTAGGGTCTAGATGAGCTAATAAAGACTTCTGATAGAACCAGACATTACGACTCCTTGTGCACTTGAAAATGCGATGAACGATAGTGTCAATTTCTCCTGGACATAAGGCACAAAATGGGTCGATTGTTGGATTTTGGCGATGAAGAAGCTAGTTGTGGGGAATCCTCTCATGTATCATGAGATACCACGCTGACCGTTGCTCAGCTGGAAGCAGGCTGGAGTGAATGTTTTTAAAGACCGCTTTCCAGTTTATCTGCGAGTCGGTGAAGGTCGGTGGATCCGGAAGCAGCGAAAGGTAATGTTGGTACAAACCACTCGCCGTCAGGTTCTCCAAAAGATTGGAGGAGAGATATGACATTTCCTGCAATGCCAACCTAGCGTGCTGAAATTCTGCAGGGATACTTGGGACGTTCGGTGGATTACCAGATCCTTCCAGAAAATCGGCTAGCAGTGTAAGTTGATCCAATGACTTTACCAATCGATTCAGTAGAAGAGGTTTTGATTTCAACGCTGGCGAGTGTAGGTTTAAACCACCACGGTTTTTGGGAAGCGTAAGATCTTGAAAGGAGATCTTGAACTGTTGAGGGTGCCCCATCCACAGGAACTTTCTCAGCTCAGTTATAATGCGAGCTTCGTAGTTTTTTGGCAAGTACACGATAGAGGCCACGTACCACATTTTTGAGCACACATACGTGTTTAGTAGTGTCACTCTTAGAGTAAGTGGCAAGTTTCTGGGACTTTGTTCCCAAATCCGCTGTTTCATACCCGATAAGATCGAATTCCAGTTGAGATCTCTGGCAGTTCGGGTATTCTCGCAATAAAAGATACCTAGGATCTTGACGTGGTTCTCAATTGAGAACCACTCGGTAGCTTCAGTTAAGTTGATGTTGCCTATCATTAAACCCACAGTTTTGCTTCGGTTGAGAATTGCTCCTGCTTCTTCACCAAAGTTTGTGAACAGCTCAGAGACTTGCACTAACATTCCTTCGTTTTCCAGGAACATCGATATGTCATCTGCGTAAGCATTAATTATCACACCAGGAAAAGCTCGCCTTAATACGTCCAATAGAGGTTGCATATACAGTACAAAAAGTAACATTGACAAGGGATCTCCTTGACGGACCGAACGCTGGATGTGGATTTCGGGAGTTAGATGACCATTCACTAATATCCTCGAAAAAGAATTCTCCATGAACTTTTTGATGAGTTCTACTAGTGCCGGATTGAAATTCATTCTTAACATTGTTTGCTGAAGAAATGAATGATCAACGCGATCAAACGCGTGGTCCAGATCAAACGAAACTAGCAGCGCGTTCTGATGCCGGTGCTTCAATTCTAATATCCTATCCCAGATTTTTGTCGTTGCTTCGAAGATAGTTTTGGAGCCATTCGAACACTTCTGATCCGCGGATAGCACCAGTGGAACAAGTTTTTCCATGCGCTGCTTCAGGATACGCGAGACGGTTTTGAAGTCAAAATTTAACAAAGAAATGGGACGAAAGGCGGACATATCTTTTTTGTTACCCCTTTTCCGTACAAGAACTAATATACCTTCAAGAAAGTTTTTGGGAGCGTTACCTGACAAGGCGTCGTTTATTACAAGTGTGAATTCCCTCGAAATTATTCTCCAGCATTTCAGGTAAAATTCCTTGGGTAATCCGTCAATGCCTGGGGATTTTTTTGAGCAGCTCGATTTAATTACAGCGAAGACCTCCTCCTCCTCAGCATTTCTCATGATCGATATGTTTTCCTCGATATCATTTGGGATACTCCTAGTCGGCAAAAACCTCGCAGTATTAGTATTATTTCACCAGCAGCATACAGTTGATTGAAGAAACGGGAGACTTCAGCATGAATTTCATTTATATCCTTGGTAACGTTGCCATCTCGAAGTTCGAGCAATGATGCTTGTTCGTGCTTTGCGTGTTGACCGCTCGTTTAGATGAAACAGGCTTGTCTGCTCACCACCTATATAAGATGAATTGTTCCTTCGGAGCTTTGTTGAGAAATTCCGCTGTAGTTGAAGAATTTGTCCCTTGATGCGATTGATGTTAGAACGTTCGTGTGGATTTCCAGGAAGTCGATTAACCACGTGCGAAAGCTGAGTTTGATAAATTTCCATGGTTCCACGAAAATCGTTGAAGAGCAGCGATGTTTTCCATTTAAGAAAGGAAATCAGTTTCGGCTTACAAAAAGTGATCCACCAATCCATCCATGTTGCATAAAGGGTGATACGGTCAAAATTTGGTCAAGGGAAAACGCGTGTAAATCGGTGAAATCGTTTATTTAAAAAATCAAATTAAATTTCTTTTTCAAGTTCAATTAGTATAAAATTCAGGAAAAATATTCAGTTAGGCTTCCGCTTTTCCAAATCCGAATTGCCGGGCCTTACGCTCAAGCGTAACCCCTGCCATCAGATTTTGTACAGCCACCTTGTCCACCTTCTTCGCCGCAGAAAGCCAGTTTGCCTTGAACTGCTGCTCGCCCTTAGCAGTTTTTTTGGTCTTCTTTAGGTTCCGCTTGACAATAGCCCAGTATTTCTCAATTGGGCGGAGCTCTGGCGTGTTGGGAGGGTTCTTGTCCTTGGGAACCACCTGCACGTTGTTGGCGGCGTACCACTCCATGGACTTTTTACCGTAATGGCAAGATGCCAAATCCGGCCAAAACAGTACGGAACAACCGTGTTTCTTCAGGAAAGGCAGCAGACGTTTATTCAAACACTCTTTCACGTAAATTTCTTGGTTGACAGTCCCGGAAGCTATGAAAATGCTGCTTTTCAAGCCACAGGTACAGATGGCTTGCCAAACCAGATATTTCTTTGCGAACTTTGACAGTTTCATGTGCTTGAAAACATCTGCTACCTTTCCCCTTCCTTTTGCCGTATAAAACTCCTGTCCCGGAAGCTGCTTGTAGTCGGCTTTGACGTAGGTTTCGTCGTCCATTACCACGCAGTCAAACTTCGTCAGCATCGTCGTGTACAGCCTCCGGGATCGCGCTTTGGCCGTCGTATTTTGTTTATCATCGCGATTTGGAGTCACTACCTTCTTGTAAGTCGATAGTCCGGCTCGTTTTTTGGCTCGATGCACGGTTGTAGACGATACACCCAGCTTATTTGCGGCATCTCGGAGAGAGAGGTTAGGGTTTCGCTTGAAACTACCGGCAACTCTCTTTGTCGTCTCAGCG